ACACACACACACACACACACACACACACACTCCCTCTCTCTCTTTATCTCTCTCTCTCTCTCACACACACACACACTCTCTCTTTCTCTCACCCTGCTCTCTAATGTATATCTGTAACCTAAACTTGGCACTCGCAAGAACTCAAATAATAATCAATGCCTCGGATGTTGTCAAATTTACAGGCCACTCTGTGTTGCATAGCAACAGGCAGTGCAGCACTGAGTAAGGAGAGAGAGGTTATGCTGTGTGTGAGTGATTTGAGCTCTATGTGAAAGGCTGAAGTGTCACACAGAGATGCCCTTGTCTGACCAGGTCATCCAACATCCACATACATTTCTATTTATTTATATGTATTTTATTATTATTATTTATATAAATACCTGGTCTGGCAATAAAATATTTTTTTTAACCAAGACCTATGCATTCAAGTTGTTGTCGGTTTATTAAGATAATCAGCTGAAGTTTTATCTTTTAGCTTTCTTGTAGCAATTCCCATAGCTTCTCAGAACCTTATAATCAAACTCTTCCATCAGCAGCTCAAACTTAATTTCATCCATCCATAATAATGGTCCACCATTGAATCTGTATGTACGTTTACCTATTTGAACCATTTTCTTTGCCAGTGTCTGATGTGATTTCTCTTTGAAACTCTGTCTAAAGGCCAGCAGCATCTTAGAGTCTTCTCTGGTTCAGATGAAGCTGACGTTAGGCTTGTACTTTTATTAATGAAGCTTCTAGCTGAGCCACACACACACACACACACACACACAAGGCGTCTCTGATCTGTTTAGCCCACATTCATACACAAGACACTTACTTCCTTCTTTATATCGGCCATTTCGTCCTCCGTCAGGTGAGCAACATCCATCCTGTTGTCTGCTTTTCACCTTTTTTGAGTTTTCAATTAGTTGTGGGAAGAAAATCTGACTACGAACTCAACATTAAAGACCGGAAACGCATGAAAAGGCTAGACTTTTTGAACATGCGATGGCGAAGCTTGAACTGGTTTTTATCTGAACTATCTAATAGTTCTCTTAAAGCAAAGGGGAACTACCCGGATCTCCGACTTCCTTATTTGATGCATGCATAGGCGCACTTACGTCATACTGCACGCGCATCATCACCGTGCAGCGCTTTATGGAGGAGTATATATCACACGTAAAGTGCAGCATAACAAGTTATGCACGTTTCATTAGGATTTATTCCGCAACATTTCACCGAGCTGAAAAGAACTGAATGGCAAAAGTGTTTAGAGGTCAGTGTGTGACTCATGAATGACTCATTTGATGATTTTTCCGATACTTCTGACAAGATAAGAGATAAGATCAGCTTTATTGTCCCAAAGGACATTTGTATTGGACACATACAGTACGATATCTGCTGTTTTATGCAAAATAATCTGTTCCTTTTATTCCGTATTTCAGGATTCTTTATTTGTTTATTTACATACTTGGAATATGGCAATTAGGATGCTTTTTTGTAAAAGATGTATTTGTTACAGTGTAATTATTCAATTAAGTACTGAGTAACATGTACTTACTATAGAGCTAGTTGCTTATAATTATGCATATTGTATTGTTGTTACTATAGTAAAACTATGGTAATACTAACAAAGTAGTAGACCAAAATTTACTAAAGATTCAGTCTTAGGGTAACAGTTGCTGCGTCCAAAATGACGCACTGTACACTATGCACTTATACACTATGCACTATGTACTTATGCACTTATACACTATGCACTTATGCACTATGTACTTATGCACTTATACACTATGCACTATGTACTTATGCACTATGCACTTATGCACTTATACACTATGCACTTATGCACTATGCACTTATACACTATGCACTTACACACTATGCACTTATGCACTATGTACTTATGCACTATGCATTTATACACTATGCACTTATGCACTATGTACTTATACACTATGCATTTATACACTATGCACTTATGCACTATGTACTTATACACTATGCATTTATACACTATGCACTTATGCACTATGTACTTATGCACTTACACACTATGCACTTATGCACTATGTACTTATGCACTATGCATTTATACACTATGCACTTATGCACTATGTACTTATGCACTATGCATTTATACACTATGCACTTATGCACTATGTACTTATGCACTATGCATTTATACACTATGCACTTATGCACTATGTACTTATGCACTATGCATTTATACACTATGCACTTATGCACTATGTACTTATACACTATGCACTATGCACTTATGCACTATGCATAAAAAGACAGTATAAGTCATTATAATCCATAATTATGTCCCCACTGGATGCAACAAATGCCTCGTTTATAATGGGTTTTCATGTTTTTGTCTCGTCGCTCCGGCCGGACACGGCATCATCACAGTATGGTGAGGGGCGTAACATTTCCGTCACACGCTTGAGGTATTCGGCCAATCACAACGCACTGGATAGCTGGCCAATCACAGCACCCCTCGCTTTTTCAGACCGATGAGCTTTGTACAAATCGACGCGTTTCAGAAAGGCGGGGCATAGAGGAGAAACAATAATGTTCAGTATGTGGAAAATAATGTTTTTTTAACCTTAAACCGCATAAATATTTCATTACACCAAATAATGTTATTTTTAGCAACATCATATGACCTCTTTAATTAATAGCTTTTCATGAACTCACAAACCCCTGAAATTCCCTGGTTTGATAAAGCCTGATTAGGATGCGTTTATTCACAACGTTTTTTTGCACAAACTACTGGCAGTACAAAACTGATGTGGAATAAATGTTTATAATCTAATAGTGTGGGGGGGGAAATTATAGTGTACATCGGTACACAAAAGAAAAAACATACCAAAACTCTTTCAAAATGGAGATCTTTATTGTTACAAAACAATTTTTTGTCGAAATTATACATGGCGTTTCATCCATATTTTTTTGTTGTGGTTCAAATCTGTCACTTCAGCCAAATGTAGGCTTCATTCTACAAATGATAACACAGTCCGTTTCCGGGAGTTAACAGGACGTTTTACCATCAAAGCTGCTCTCCTCCTCAATCTCTGGTCAGAACTGAAACCTCTTCTAGATGCTGACGCACAACGCCGTCCAGGACTTTGCTGAGACCTTTACACGCCGTCATGGCTGCCTCTATTAAAGCATCCAAGTGGTCCTGGTGGAGCCGGGCGTCCATCTGCAGCAGGGCGATGTTTCCGCTGCGGGGCAGCAGGGCCAGCGCCAGAGACGTTCCTCCTCCGCTCTCCTCTGCATGACACAGATCAGCCAGCGGCGTGTCCTCCACAAAGCCGGCAGTGCAGGCGCACACATAGTCACGCATGGGAATGCCAGCGTCTACCAGAGCCAGAGTAGCAGCATTCACACAAGCACTGTAGTTCCCACCGTCTGCCTGCAGAATCTACAGCACAGGACCAGAGACAGGGATTGTGGATATTATAGCCAATCAAATGCGATATGATCTGAACTTTGTATTTTAAGTGATTCTTTCTCCTAGAGCAGGGGTGCCCAAACTCGGTCCTGGAGGGCCGGTGTCCTGCAGAGTTTAGCTCCAACCGCAATTAGACACACCTGAACCAGCTAATCAAACTCTTACTAGTCATACTAGAAACTTCCCAGCAGGTATGTTGAGGCAAGTTGGAGCTAAACTCTGCAGGACACCGGCCCTCCAGGACCGAGTTTGGGCACCCCTGTCCTAGAGTAACAGATATTCAAGTTGCATTTCTTGATGCAGCAGCAGACTGTGTTAAGTGACAGCAGTTTTCTGAAGTACTCCTGAGCCCATGTGGCTATATTTAACACCGCAGCATGACGGTTTCTAATGCAATGCCATCTGAGGGCTCAAAGGTCAAGCACATTCAACTGAGGTTTACTGCCTTGCCCTACATGTACCGCGATTTCTCTGGATTCCCTGAATGTTTTCACAATATTACGTGTGGTAGTTGGTGAAAGAACTCAATTCTTTGCACCCTCAGATTCCAGATTTTCAAATAGCTGCATCTCGGCCAAACATTGTCCTATCCTAACAAACCATAGATTGATGGAAAGCTTATTTATTCGATGATGTATAAATCTAAATTTTGAAAAATTGACACTTAAGACTGGTTTTGTGGTCCAGGGTCACATATAATTCTTTCTAACCCGTTACTACAGGTTAGCACACACAATTAGCACTTCTAGATTACATTTAGTTTAAGTTGAGTGCTCTTACCTTAACGTAGATGTCGATTTGTGATCGTGGGTAGAGCTCGGTGAGCACCGCAGCTTCAAAGGTCTGTTTGAGATGAAGGCTCATCTCGCTGGACTTGCGGTCTCCGTGTGGACGTCTCTTCCTCTCCGCCGTGCTGAACGTGGCCATGCTGTACTGACAGTTAATGACTGCACGATCGTGCAGAGATTTACTGCGAGAGCCTCGCGTCTACAGGGAGCCAGATCATACGTGAGGACAGTATGGGTAAATGACACAAACTGCAGGTTTCTCAATAGTGTCTGTCTGGAGTAACTGCGGACACACTGTCATGGGTAATACTGAAAATGAGAAAGACTTAAATCCTAGCTGGAAATGACAAAAACGTAATAACTGAGATGTGTGTTCGAAACGCTGCTTCAAGCAGTTTTGAATCATGCTGCAGTAGTTTGC